GCAGCTGTGGTGGTGTGCTGGTTCTGAGTCATGACTCTTTATGTCTCCGTGTAGCATTAATGCATTCATTTGGAAACCTAAGTCACAATCATTAAACAACATAACTACACCTTCAGTATCCTTAAGTTCCAGTCCTGCTTCAGAAGTAAACATCTGACAAAATCCTTTTTTTTTTTCAGTCAGTCACTGATAAAATTCATCAATTTCCTATCTTGGGTGTTAAACTTGTCTGACCCTGTGCTTTTCATTAACTAGTGGGTTATTTAGGTGCTGAAATAAACACTTTTAACTGCTGAGAACTGTGTGGCTAGAACTCAGACAGTGGGATAACACGTGAGCTAGGTTGTCGCTCAGGCTACTATCAGGGTTCTAATTTGAATTTCAGGCAGCTGTTGCAAATGAACCTGTAAAATAGAGAAGCTTCACATGTAAGCTGCATGTCTGGGATGAAAAGAAATGAGCTGTGTTAGTGAATTCTGTGTGATTGTGACTTCAAACCTTTGAAAATACTGACTTCAATCCCTGATTTTGTTACAGGTGATCGCAGGGTCAGGTCTGGATGTTGGGTTTATCCTCCTCTCACCCACCGGACATCGGCTAGTCTCTGACTTCAGGAGGTCTGATGGTATCCACATGTGCGTATCTGTTCAGTCTGAGATGAGCAGTCTCTCTTGCTCTTTAGTATTTGTATTAAAAAGTAGTTAAACAAATGTACGTAAAGAATGACTCACAAGCTATTTCATTAGATACCTGTTCAAGTTCTTTTTAATGCAAATATTTGATCAGCTAATCACAGGGCAGTAAATGAATGTGTTTAGGCATGTAGGTATGCTCAGGATGACAAAGTAAGCATCATTTTGGGGAAGAAACGTTATTTAGGTGACTTTGAATGCAACACTGTTGTTGTTCCCAGATGGGCTGGTCATAGTATTTCAAAAACAGCTGATCTGCTGTGATTTTTGCTTCATTTCAATTCAGTTCTGTTTATATAGCCCCTTCATGACCACTGTCATCTCAAGGTGCTTTAAATTGTAGGCTACAAACCCTAAAATGATTTTAAAAAAATTTTAAAAAGCAAGAAAAAAACCCCTCACAAACATAAAACCATCTTTAGGGTTTACAGAACATAATGTGTCCATCTTCCGATGGCTGCTTCTAGCAGGATAATATGCCATGATGTCACAAAGCTGTCGAACTGGTTTCTTGAATATGAAAATCAGATCACAGTTCTCAAATGGCCTCCACAGTCACCAGATCTCAATGTAGTAGGAGAAATGTTTCATCACAGTTTTTCGCAGTTGTCCAGATAAACTCTTTCTTGCCCGGATGATTGAATGTGTATCAAGACATGTACAATGTGGGAGATTCATATCGATCGGCCACCTGTCTTCAAAATGTTCTTTTTCCTGTAGGGTGGATCCCACAGTTGATGGAGACTACCGGTTATGTTTTGACAACAGCTTCAGTAAAATGTCAGAGAAGATGGTGTTTTTTGAGGTCGTCATTAATAATCAGAACAGCAAAAACGGAGGCCAAGATGATTGGTTAGAGACTGTAACTTCAGACAGCATGGTGGACTACAAAATGGAAGACATCAGGGTGAGAGCAGAAAATAAAATTATCCATGTCCTGGATCTAAATTTACTCTACAACTGGTTATATCAGCGCCATTCGTTTAAATCCACTTAATGTCTTTTTTGTCCCCCTCCAGGCGAGAATGGACTCTGTGCACCGGCACCTGGAGAAAAGCCATCAGGTCCAGGCCATGCTGAGGGCATTTGAGGCGAGAGACCGCTACCTTCTGGAGGACAACTTGTGGCGAGTGTCCTTTTGGTCCTGCGTAAACCTGTCGGTCATGCTCACTGTTGCTGTTGTTCAAATTTACACCCTCCGACGCCTCTTTGTCAACACCAAGCAGGTCCGCACATAACAAAACCATCCTTACCTCCATCGACGAAAGACTAGCAGAAAACACTCAACTGACATGGGAGCTGAATTTAAAGGAATAGTTTACATCATTTTAAAAAGCTGGTTTTTGCACTGGATTTTTTTTTAATTGTCAAAAACTGTTCCCTTTGATGCATTGTGGAAACCACTTTCTGCTTTTGTGTCATCCCTGAAATCACATTTATACCACAGTAGTGGATGCCTGTAGCACCGGTATTTGTTAAAAGTTTCATTAGGGAAGCTAGAACGTCAGTTGTTCTCCCTTGAAAGTTTATTGAATTACAAACACTACATTTGGCACATCTAGAAACTAAGATTATCAGAACACCAAAAAACTAATTATCAGATACGTCACCTCATGAAAGCGCATGATGAAGCTTTTTAAAAGCTTTAAAAACAAAAAAACAACAAAATGATGCAAAAGAGTAACTGTAATAAAATAAATATTTATAATCATAAAAAGAAAAGTCCCTGATTAGATTTACTATATGACAGTTAAATATTACACAAAACAATAACAGTCAGGTGGCTGGGGAAAAAGGCATCAGAGTCACTTGTTTCATGCAATTGCACTTTGTGGTACTAAGGTGGAGAAGTCAGTAAAACCAGGAGTCTATTTTTATAACTGTGAGCAGTTACAGACTCTGCCATGAATCATTTTATTGTGGTAATGCTCCACCACTTGAAAGGCATTCTCTCTTTTGCATCACTGAGCAGATACATGAAAAATTAGAATACAATTCTCCTGCTGCACTTTGTGAGTTGGCACCAGAACTGAAATGATACAAAACAAATGCTCTAAGGTCTTCTGGGGGATTGGGAACAGAGAACTGAAAGTACACCATGAGATTTCAAACTATTTCAGCTTTTTGTGCCCACAATCATTAGTGTCATTATCCCAAAGAAAGAAAGAAACAAAACCCTGAACCATGCCACTCAGTTTGAATTCTTCAGTTAGGCTGCAGGACTGTAACAGCGTTATTGGGAGTGCCTCTTTGTTTTGATGAAGTGAAATTAAAACGTGCTCTTCTGCTCCCATTGTTGTCATTGATTGGAGTCATTTCACATTCACTGCGGAGCGGCCAAGGTCACTGCTGGTTTCGACGAGGGGCCGGGCGCCTGTTCAGGAACAACTGACATTAATCTCTTGGTGACACGCAGTAAAGAATTGCCGCTGACATGTTAACCCTTCAGGATCCAGTTATCAAAACAGCAAGGACACTTGTACTGTGGCGGGTGCCGGCTGAGGGATAGAAGGACCTTTTGTTTAAGCAAAGGGAAATACTAGGGAAGTGCATTTCACATTTGAATTTTAAATACTGCCTGGAAAAATCTAAATACTAAAAGCAACCTTTTATCTTTCATCAGTGTGAAAAATGTATGATTATATCTCAATTTAGTGTTGCAAGAGAAGATCTGAGAAGCTGTTATTGGAAGATGATTTGGCCCACAGAGAAACAATGATTAAAAGTTAATGTTGCAAAAATGTAGTGTTCCTGCTCATCACCACAGGATTTGTCAAGATGCATTTCTGCAGGCTGGTAAGTAGAAGGTTGCCATAGGAATATGGGCTTGTTTTAGCCCGAGAGAGGGAGAGCGAAAGCAAAGAGAAAGGAGAGGACCACCAGGAAATGCTCTATACATCATCTGAGAGAAAGAGAGAAGACCACACAAGACACAAACAGACACCAACCACCAGAGCCAGTCCCTTTATTGTACACAACACCTCTTTATTTACTCGCCTTTCTAAATCCGTTCATGTTGTTTATTCAAATCAATTAATTGCTACAGAGGCACTTGACAAGGTTTGAAGAAAAGAAAAAAAAAAAAAAATGTTTGCAGGTTGTTTCCAATCCCCGTCTTCCAGATCCGAGAGTTGGGTTCGAAGAAAGATGGGTACGTCCATTAGGGAGAAAGGCAGTTTGCTCACAGCCCACTATATGACAAGCCATTTACAGGTTAGCCTTCCCAAGGGCAGGTCTAAGTGACAATCACAGAGATTTAAACTCTAGACCAATAAATATCTGTTTTAGTTGTTTAAAATTTGTGTACCATGGGGAGTGTGGAAGATCCATTATTAAAGATCTTCAGTATAAAGACCGGATAGGAATATTTTATTCTTCCTGGTGCCGTCACTGAAAGCCAGACCTTGAGAAAGGAAGAAAAGGCACATTTTGTCTCAAGAAGCAGTGGTTTGGGATCTTGCTGCATTTTTTTTTTTTTTTAAACAGCTTTTTTGATTTGTCAGTCTGGTTAATTAATCATCTTTCCTTGATGCAGACTACCATCTTAGGGAGCTTCTCTTGACAGGATGTGCCTTTGTAAACCACAAATCCCAGCACCTGCTCACCACTACTGATCAAACCAAAACAGAAAACAAGTGCCCAATGTAACTCCCAATTTCCCCTTAAAGACTTAAAAATATATATATTTTATTATGGTCAAATACGTTCAAAGAGCAATCAAAAGATCATCATCAAATAATCACAGCTGAACCAAGTGCACGTCCAAGTTTAGACAGATAATCCCTGTAGCAAAACCCCTAGTAACAGTCCAGGCGAAGCTGGGGGGCTGAGTTGAACATACCTGTACAGAGATGATACAATTGCTACCAAAGCATCAAAAGAAATGGGGGGGGAAAAAAAAAAAAGAAAAAAAGCCCAGATTCTAAATAAAGCACAATGAAATAATCTCTTTTCCCGCCTTTATTGAAGTCTAATCTATGAAATGAGTGCTAGTGCTTTCTTTAATTTGATGACTACCGTTGTATTTTGACATTTTGGGCTTGGATTATGATCGATAGCATGCTTTGTCATGTACCCTATAATAAAATGAGAGATAAGCTAACTCCCCAGAATAGGCCAGCTATATACAGGATCATTTTATGCATGGAAGCATAAGTGAGAGAAAATTTCCTTGAAAATTAAGCCCAGACAGAGACGTAACATCTGATCTATACTTAATACCACCTTTACGCTCTGAATCACAGATCTGTCCACACACCCCTCAGCTTCATCAAGTTTTATCCTCTCCGAGAGAAAACTGTACCGTGTGCGCCGTTCTATTTAAATCCACTAATCCAGGAATTAACTCTCCTCCAAGGCTGTAGGCCTCACTGAGGTATGACTGAGACTAGAAGGATTAAAATTCAAGACGTGATCATCTCCAAATTAGTGGAGAAAGCTTCCCAGAAAGTGCAGACAGCATCCATCCCACCCCTCCCCCCGGACTTTTGTGCATAGTGTTATGGTAACAAGCTACAGCATCCCTGCTATGAGTGGCTTAATGTAAGGCTAGGCGGTTAGAAGTGCTTGGATTATAACGGTCAATGAATAACATTTCATTGAGGAAAATAATAGTTGACGGAGGAACCGAAGCTATTTCTCTCAGTGTCAAACAACCCTGCTCTGTATCTTTTTTTTTTTCTTTGTTTTTACACTCTGTTGAGATTAAGATTTCATTTTAAAGCTACATGTATAACTGTCATTTAAAAAGGACAAATTCACTCAAATAAAGCAACACAAGGGAAGAAAAAAGAACAGTGATAATAAGCCATTGTTTTTCCAATATGAAATCAGGAGACCCGAGAGAACAGCTGGTTATGGGTGTATATTACAAAGACCAACCTAGACTTGAACGTCCAGGCTCATTTTGAAGGGGAAAAAAAGTAGGGCGGAGGGGAGAGAAAAACCCAGCCTGTACCAGTTAATAACTTAATAAATGTACTTCTGCTGAGAACCTTGCCAGGAAATAAACTATAAAGGAAATTAACCAGTTATTACATTTAAAAAATATTGAATCTGACACATCATCTCCTAATGACAGAAGCTGAATGCATCTCACAGATGAGCCATTTGTTTTCCTCTTTTAGAGCAGTCAAATGCAATATTCAAGTGGTTAAGGGCTTGCTTTCTTTCCTGCGCATTTATAAACACATTATTAGCAGCTTATTAACATTGCTTGAACAGACATCAATGCGGCTGGATGTTGCATGTTATGCACTACTATCAGTCAGCCCCTCCCCTTGAGCCCCCGCCCCTGCCTATATTGTGCAGATACACACATCCACACACAAATACACACACTCTTAGGTGGACTCGGCCACAGGTCTAGTCTAGCAGGGAGGGCTCAGCAGGGCGAATAATGGTGGGCCGGTGAGAAGGAGCACCAGGGGGTCTTCGGCTGTAACGAGGAGAGAAAAACCAGGACAAGAAGTGAGATGTGCTCTCAAAGAGGCAGTGAAGAAACCAAACTTCCCAAACAGAAGCAGAAGAGAGAGAAGAACGGAAGAAGAGTGACAAAGAGAAACTTGAGACTCAGGAAAGAATGACGCATACAGAAATAATAGGTATGTATACAGACGACAGACAAACCACAAACCATGCCTGGAACTCTTGAAAGAAACATGATGATGTGACGTCAAAGACAAAGTGTTAGAGAGTCTGTGCGACAAAAATCACAGTAACACCTTCCACGCATTGCTGGTCACATCATAAAACTTACCTGGGAATATTGGGAGGGACACGAGCGGGCCGGGAGGGGATCTGTGGGGGTGCACTGAAGGGATCCTGACTGCTATTGAAGGCATTGGTGGGCGGGCCTGGGCGGGAGGGGATTGGGGGTGCACCAAAGGCCGGGGAGGGATTGAGTGGTGCTCCAAATGCAGGGGAAGGGTTCAAGGGAGGTCCTGGTGTTGGTCCCCTCACAGCAGGTGGACGGCTGGGGGGTTGGGAGGATGTAGGAGTTGGCCTGCGCTGAGCGGTCGGACTGAGAAAAAGTTTAGTGCATGAGAAACGGAAAGGAAAATGAAAACCAACACAAAGATCACATGAATTCTCCTGTGTGATTAGAGAAAGAGTGTTTCAGCTATTACATTCACACCCCGTTAACCCTCACCTGGCTTCCTGCATCCAGGAGTCATTTACAGGTGGCGGTACTGGGGTGGAGATTGTGTTGGCACTGATGTCGCCAATAATGACCAGTGCTTCCTTGAGTGCATGATACATGCGCAGCATTTCGTCTCTACGCTGGGCCTGGTCAGCCGACTCCTCCATCAGGCTGTTCTGATCCCCAGATGAATAGAGGTAGGCCAGAAGCTCTGAGTGGATGAAGTCCTTCGCCTATAAGGAGGGCATATTAATCAAGACAGAATCTTTAGATATGGAGCAGGAAAATGGCTGTAGTATGTGGTTCCAATTAATGAGATATTATGGGGTTAATACTTACTCATAAAAGAAAAATACGCATAGATCTGTGACCAAAAACATTTGAAAGTCTTGGCAAAAGAGCTGCTTACTAGACAGTCGTGTAGGAGTTTGTTACAAGTGTGTGTATGTGTAGTTGCTGGACTGCTAGAAGATGTCAAAGTAGGCTCACTAAAATAATAAATCAGAATAAATGGACAGTGGGCAAGTTACTGTGA